TCCTCACTATCAGCATTCCTTCATCCAGCTTTGTGTGCTGTTGAGTAGAACGATTTGATGAACTGGGAAGAATGCAGTTACAGTTGATGGTTGGTTATCTCTGACTGCTGCTAAGGCGCCACTTTGAATGCCTCGACCATTGCATTACACCTTAGCCGGCTAAGTTGGGCTCTCAATCGTTTCTTGCCATGATTTTGAATGTACATCCCAAGTTGGTACACTGGCGACATAAAAATGCAAATCCCTTCTCACCTTAAAGCCCATCCACCCTGATTTTCCTATCGCTGAATTTTGCGAGTTAGCGAAGTGGAGTGGACGGAGAGCCCAGATGGGAGAATCAGTGACAGCTCTTAATCGAAGGGAGTGAAGATGTCCTCTACTCTCGAAACTCGCCGAAAGTCTGCCCAAACCTGTATTCACTTCCTTGTCCCTATTGGCCTCTGAATCTGTGACTAACCTTTGCAGAACATCTACACAACATTGTCATCAGCTCCGAAGTCTCATCCCTCCAGTGTCACTTTGCGTATTTGTGCAGCGTAACATTTACATCCAACCAGAGATCACACATCTATCAATCCATCGTTGACATTCATCCTCCTTGCTCCAGAGAACAAGGAGAAATAATGTGGATAGACAGCCGTTAGGAGGGAAGTTTGTACAGCCGCGAATTCACACGCGCCGTTTGCCAAACAGTGACTCTGCATTCTTACGATTGGGATCCAAGCAGAGAAATGCCTTGCACAAGGAAGCCCCCACATTTTGAAGGATCCATGGTGATATCTGATGCCCTGGACCAACCTCCTCATCCTTCCAACAATTTCGTGTAGTGCCACAGTAAGAGGCCTCCAAGGTATAGCTCCTTGCGACGCCAAACTGGCGCCAAACGACAACACGACCTGTTGCCTCCTTTACGCGGCTGATGGAATAGCTGGAGGAGAATAAACAACACAACACCAATACCAACACCTATCTGGCCGCAGAGTATATTTAGTCCACCTATCCGTCACAAGTCGGGATGGGCGGATAAGTTTATCCTGGATCTACCTCCTTACCACAGAGCTAGTCAACTTCGCTTTGACGTTCATTCTAAAAACAAATATGTGGAGCCTCTGCTAACTCAACCCAGCTCGCAAGAATGTTCGTTTCTTCTGATCAATCCGCCATGGATCAACCGATCGGTCTAACATTCCTCCACCGACAGGGCCTTCGCGTTTGCACTTCAACAACCCACCCACTTCTTTCCAAATACGTTCAGTCATTTCCATTCACACAGTGTTAGAAAACCAGTCTTAAAGATCAAATGTCACCTGCCTGTGGAATGAGAGGGCAGAGGAGAGAGTCATTGCTTCACATACGTGTTAATAGCCCACTCTTATGGAAAAGGAAAAAGAAGAAAGTAATAATGCTGCACTTACTCGCTAGCAGCTTTGGAAAAGGGTGGTGAAATGCTATGCATCACTTCGGCTAGTTGAAGGAAACAGCCATCAAAACTGTCCGTGTTGACACCAAGGTAATCAGTGACGTCTGAAGCCTTCCACGAAAGATGTGGATCACAGCCGTAGACGAAGATATCTTTCATTCGAGAATGGCCATGCAGATCGACGTAGATCTGGACGAGACTCCAAACCATGCTTAATCAAAAATAAGAGAGAAAACAGCGGTTATGCATCGACCTACATAGGGTGTACTGCCCACTTCAACCAGTAAATTAATGAGACATTTAGTGTGGAAGATCGTCGGATGCAAAGACGGTGACGGGTTCAACCACTGACGATTCAAGTCTCTTGCAGCCATGGAGCATCGATGGCTAGAGAGGAGGAAGCGAGAAAAGGGTAATTTAAAACTTGAAAAAAGGAGGGAAAAAAGAGAGGACGGGGAAATTGTACCCACTTTCCACAGATCACTCCATCCGGATTTAACGATGGCACTACCTTGAAGACGTAGGTACGCCGAAGACGAAGCATTTCAGGGTCGCACGGATCAGTTAGGTGGTCTAGGAGGCCTCGCATCACCCAACTCGAATTCGACTCGCCAGGATGAACACGTGCAGTGATGATGATGTAGGGACGTCGGGCATCTGCAGCAGATTTTAATGAGACAGTCAACGCTAATAAGACACCATATTACAAGCCAGTAAGATGCCCTGTTAACAGCGTCCTCTCTGGCATATAACTCACCATTGCCTTTGGCAGAGCCTTCAGTCGCCTCCGTGATAGTAATCAGAGGCACCAGATTGTCAAGCAGGGTGGAAGTGAGGTTTTGCACACGCAAGTAGAGCCTAGAGGTTGTTGCAGAAGTCAATTTGGTAGCTGCGTTTTGGGCACGGAGTTGCCAGTGCGTCAAATCGGCGAGGAGGCGAGAGTGAGTGTACGGGTAGTGGTAGGCGATGTAACAGATGTCACCGCGATGTTGAAATCGCAAACTGAAAGTGGCGGTGTAGTAATTCCGGCTGTTCTCTGTAGTTAGTGGAGAAAATAAATTAACTGCAAATATCACTCCACCAATCCCATGCCTCCCCATTGGACGATAGCACAAATGGGCATTTTGGAGGCCATTTGGACCTGGGTCCTTCAACCATTTGATCAACTCTCTCCCAAAGATTGTACTACCCATGGAGGTAAAGGAGAAAGCTTGTCAGAAGGGCAAAACCCCATCTCTGCCCTACCCCACATTTACGCATCACTTCCAGATAGGCACGTGGAAGAATTCCTTTCAACAACAACAACAACAACAGAAGCAGGAATTTCCTTTGACTTCCCATGGGTAAATGGGTAACGAAAACAGGGAACTCACTTCCAACGGACCCACTTCGCATGAAGTGGTTTTTGTAGTAACTGATACACCCACCAGCTCTGAACCAGTAAGGTCGTCCATTCAGTGCCTCTTGAACGGAGAATACGACAGGTTGCATGCCTAGAAGATTCAACGTATGATTGTCATCTTGTCGACTTGTTAAGTCCTCGTTTTAGGCAAAAGATTAACAAAACAATTTCGAAGATCTGAAGGAACGAATTTTAGGAACACTAAGTAGCTTATCTCCTCCTCAGCGATACTGTGTGACTGGATGATTTTCGATGGAATGCAAGGGTGAACGAGTGGATGGAAGGAAGGGATGATTGGGCAACTCGATGTCTAGAGGAGTAGATCAGATATGGACGAGTGGGAAAGGCAACAACTGCATAATCTCACCCCCATTGTACTGACTGCCTGCCTTCTCTAAGTTGATAATGTTGAAGCGGTAGCGCACCATACTGTCAACATTGGCCACACGAAAGTAGAACCACTGGACATGAGAGCACGTGTTGAGGTCGGGGGAGAGGAGGAGGTCGTACTCTGTCTGCCGCACCTGAATCACCTTCCGCAGATTGCCGCTCTCAAAGCGCGATTCAAATTGCAAGTGACCCACATCAGCATCAAATTTTCCCACTCTTCAAATGACAACGGGCAAATGAATAATGCATTAGACGATGAGCAGATGGGAAAAATAACTGAAAAAAACGGTACCAACTCACAAAAGCTCATCAGAATTGCTCAACACACCCCCTGTGCGTGCCTCCATACCCCGTTCCTGGATTATCAGTTCGTCCAAGTCAAAGACCACTCGCTCAATCAGGTCCTCATTGTCCACCACTCTCCTCACATCATCCAGTGACAACGGAATCATGAAATTTGGGAATGCTGTGCCTAGGATTACAAAAGGTTTATGCGAATCGTAAACAGTAGGTAAAGCATACGATAAGCCCATTGTATCAAAGAGGAGAAAATTCAAAGTTCTTCTGACCAACCACGTTTGCTAATGTCATTAAAGGATTTGTCTTTTGTCTTTTGTGTCGACACGATCAAGTTTAACATCTGTGGAGTTGAACAGCAGCCAATATCATCGATGCTAGACGTACGACCTGCGTGCCGGCCGCTTTCAGTAGCGGTGACAGCACGCTATTTACTGTCGTCTGTAGTCTTGGCATCTGAAGGGTAAATAAACTTCTAACCTGTCTTTGAATCCTCTCCCGAGTCCAATTGAGTCGCTAAATCAGACACATCACCATGAGAAGAGGAGGAAAAGGAGGGGGGTGGGACCATTGTTTGATTACGAAGACGTGGAGAATGAAGCGGTTCACAAAAGTCGGGGCCTGTGGCATTGATGAGGTCTGGATAAGCAACCATCTTTTCACCTTGACGCAGAGCATAATCCAAAGCACTGCGGACGTTGCGAGCCGCGATAAGATAACGCGATGGTGTAGACTCATTTTCTCGAGCAGCTGACACCATTTCTACAAATGTGTGAGGAGGTTAGCAAACAACGACTATTGAAATCATGAACCGCTGTTGACAGGCGGTGCTTGTAATAGATAGCAATGTGTTTAAGTTGCTCTTGCAAGGGAAAGGCGGTCGTTC